CCACTTTGCCAGCCGTAACTTATCCGGATGTTTATAACGATCTCGTTCATACAGTATCCGTATACAAACAATGTACCTCAACAAGGCAACATAATGAAAGACACTCGTTTCATTCGTGGAGGTGGAAAAACAAGTTCTTTGTGACATGCAAGATTTGTTGTATTAAAATGTAAATGCAAAGAAAAGGCATGAGAGTCGGTTGTTTTTGTCAATTTTAAGTTTTCATTTAAAATGTTTGCGATTTTAATATAAGTACATGGTTACATATTTGACCACTTGCTTGAGCAACTTAATATATAGAAGTAATGCATGGAATAATTGGCTTACGTTGTTGAAATAGTGAGTATGTGTTAAAATAATGTTTGTGGTATAGCCGCGGATCAGTTACGCACTGCAAACGCAGCATATAAAGCACTATAGCGCGTCCTGCTTCTGTACCGTATACTGCACACGCATTGCACACGGATTGTGTGTGAAACCTGTGGTAAAATGATGGGAACAGTCGGTAACTTATTGCAATCATAAAAACTAACTCCGGGGTTCTTATTGCTGTTGTTAGAACAGCCGTGTATTACACAAGACACCATCACGCTGTTTTAAAAAAAATACAGTGATAATACCATGGATAATTGCGACGCTGCCTCGCTTGTCTATAGCTGGGTTTCAGTCACGTGATTATGATGACGCGCGAAATTCAGATGGAGGGCAGGGAGTGAAGAGCGCAATGGACGAGATGGAGGAAAGTCCGTACTGTACTACTTTACACGCTATTACAAGAGAAAGATATAAACAAAAAATCAAACATATGTTGGACGTGATCCTTGCGTTATGAAGAGGAGCGATTTTTCAACTGAATTGAAAGATTTTCCTGACATCGAGGCGGTAGATATCAGCAACTACATTGTCTTACAGACATACTTTGACTTTACAAAGTTCGGAAACGTTACACGTTACACAAACATAGCCACTTAAGTTGTATTAACTCACCTTTGACGAAGTGATCACTGCACACACGGGCATTTTCCCATCCGGCTCCTCCCGACCGCAGACGTAAGTTTGCAAGCCGTTTTCACGGAGTTTTTCAGTCAATTTCTTTAATTTTCCCCCCTTATGAACAACAACTTTTGGTACACGATAAAAACTCCTCGTGGTTTGATCGATTTAAGTAACCATAAACGATGCAAAACATAGGCATTTTGAGTTTGTTATAGTGCTTTCTAAATACAGCAAATCACTTCCTGCCCTCCATTTGCATTTCGCGCCATGGCAACGCAGTGGCGTGACGTCATATGAAAACAAGCTATTGACAGACTGACAGTTGCCGTGGTTTCTATGTCAACAATATGGCCGCCGCAAACATTGATGACGCAGATCGAATAACATCTATATGGAGCAGAGGAGCTGTTCCGCTGGGTCCTAAAGGCAGTTTCTCTTCAGTGTGCATTCACATACATCACATAATTTTTTGGTATTTTTAGTTTGAATTTTGAGCATTTCTAGGTTTTTCTGTGTGTCCTGATGCATTCCTCGCAGTCCATTCATTCACATGAATCTGCCCTGTAAGCGGACAGATGGGGTATTCCCGTCAATGCGAGTCGTACGTCACTGAAAAAGCAACGGTGGCGAATGATGTCAACTCCAACTGCGATCACATGACTCTGTTAAAAAAAAAAAAATGGAGCGCACCTGGAAGAAAACTGAAATAGAGGTATTTCGCATTTCATGGAAAGAGAGCTCGATTGCATACAGAGAGGCTTTAAAAGCTGCTAGATCTGCTTATTTTTCAACCCTATTAGAAGAAAATAAACATAATCCTAGGAATTTATTTGAAACAGTGGCTAAACTAACGAAAATTAAAGATTCAACCCCAGAAGTGTCCAAGCAATGCAGCAGTAATGACTTTATGACCTTCACTTATAAGATCGATAATATCAGGGAGAAAATTATAACTATGCAACCATCTACCACAGTATCGCATCAGACAGTGCATTGTAGTCTCCCTGAGGAAAAATGCGATTCATTCATTGTTATAGGAGAGGAAGAATTTTCTAAACTCGTTAAATCATCTAAATCAACAACATGTATGTTAGACCCTATACCGACTAAGCTACTGAAAGAGATGCTTCCAGAGGTCATAGATACTCTACTCAATATCATTAATTCATAGTTGTCTCTAGGATATGTACCGAAAACTTTTAAGCTGGCTATTTTTAAAAAACCGCAACTTAATCATACAAAATTAGTCAATTACAGGCCGATCTCGAATCTGCCTTTTCTGTCAAAGATACTAGAAAAAGCAGTATCTTCACAACTGTGTTCCTTTCTAGAAAGAAATGATATCTGCGAGGATCTTCAGTCCGGATTTAGACCGTACCATAGCACTGAGACCGCTCTCATTAGAGTCACAAATGATTTGCTCTTATCATCCGATCGTGGTTGTATCTCTCTATTAGTGTTACTCGATCTTAGTGCTGCATTTGACACCATTGACCACAACATT